CAGCTGATCACATGCTCAAGAAGGACCATCAGCCTAACAATGGATAAAAAGTTAAATCTGGTCCTTTTAACGATGAACGATTTCTTTTCACAAAGATCTTTTCACAAAAATCTTCGGTCAGCGGGCACCAGGCAGACTGAGGAAGTCTCTCGGATGAGAGACGAAACGTTTCTACATTTTTTTGTTGATTTGCTTTGTTTTGTTGTTTTTTTTTGAATGTCCAGAGGACCAGATTTAACTTTTTTAGATTTTTCTACCTGGATTATTGAGCATGCATATATTAACCTCTTTGTACCAAGAATGTTTTTTTTTGTCAATATATTCATTTAGTTCTAATTTTATCTTGCGCAGTTTTTTCTGTGTTTCCTCTCCTTGTAAACTTTCTAATAATTTGATAGATTTCTCTAATTCCTCAATACGTTTATTTTCTTTTTTCTTTTTGTTGGTTGAGTAGGATATTATTTTCCCTCTCAAAACTGTTTTCCCAGCCTCCCAGAGTGTACATGCCGATGTTCCTGGCAAGTCATTAAACTCTAAATACGATGTCCATTCATTTTTAAAGTATTGTATAAATTCTTCATCCATAAGCAGTGAGGTATTTAATCTCCAGTTTATACTTTTTGGGATTTCTTTCTTATTATCTAAATTTAAAGTAACTGGTGCATGATCGCTGACAGCAATAGGGTGTATCTTAGTGTCTGAAATGTTGGTCAGCAATGAGTTGCTGATTATAAAATAATCCAGACGAGAGTAAGAGTGATGCACATGTGAAAAGAAAGAATACTCTTTACTATTAGGGTGAAGAGACCGCCATGCATCGCAGAGTCCATAATCACTCATGTACTGTTTAACTACATTTATGGATTGCCAACTGCGTTGAGCTCCTACTGCATTCAGCCTGTCTATTTTGTTATCTAGACCAAAGTTAAGATCACCTCCCAGTACCAACGAGCAATCCATGTGATTTGATAGAGAAGAGATCATGAAAAAAGCAGCATCGTCCACATTTGGCCCATATAAGCTAACAATACAATATTTTTGACTGAGTATGGATAATTTTAATATTATATATCTACCTTGCGGGTCTATAACTGTGTCTAATATTGTGAAGTTCACATTTTTATGTATTAATATTGCTACTCCTCTTTGTCTTGAGTTATAGCAGGCTGAGAATACATCAGGAAACTCAGGAGATTTTAGCTCATCCACAGTTGACGGTACTTTATGAATTTCTTGGGAGTAATACAATTAATCTTTTAATCTGGTTAAAGATTCTATATTTTTTATGTTTGCTACCAGCTCCATTAATATTCCGTGTGACAAACCTTAAGATGCCCATACTTGTGCTTGTGAAAATATAATTAAACCACACCCATTATCACAAAAATCAAAAATAGTAAAACACCCAGACAATAACATAATCCTTAATGATTGATTATTTATGATTTATATATAAACTAAGTGCTGTTTTTGAAGGTAAATCATGGATGTATTCCTTTATGAGGTATTTGTATGTATGTATATGGATATATATAAGCCTTTGTGCATGTGTGCATATTAAGTGCTATGCAATATTCTGAACAATGTTGCTAAACTCTAAATGCTCTAAAAGAGCACAGAATGTCATGATTTCAACTCCCTGCTTCATCTGCTCTTTTCCACCTGCAAGCGCTCTAGGCCACGCCCACATCTCCAATCTGCACAGAAAGTTTATCCTACAGTGTGGGCTGCACAAAGGTGCAGCAGGTGCTAAATAATTTAAAATAATTTATTTTAAATACAAATTCCATGCCAGTCTTGTGGCTCATCCATCAGTCAGCCAATTGTGTGTCATGTCCAATCTTATTTTGAAAAACCACAATAGAAAGAGTCCACGATAAACGAACCGCGAAGTAGCAAGAGACTACTGTAGTTTTAAAACAAATCATGTCTGTATGTATTGTACAGTCACAGTTCTAATAGTAAAATAGTACAATTTTCAAGTAAAGAACAAGTTACAGGTCTGTACTGTTAATGTTCCTCCCCTCATTATTACAACAGCATGCATAGAATAAACATCAAGTTATTAAAACAAACTCTTTTTTTTTACCTAGAAATAATCAGATCATCATTTGACTGAAAAAAATAAAAAAACTGTGAAATCTGCCTAAGTATCCTTCATTTTCACATGGGACTTTTTTTCTGCATCTACAATTAGTTTCTAGTCTGCAGATCATTAATCCTTGATTCTCAGTCCTTTCTGAGCTGATGATGGCTGGATTTATGTCAAGTCTTGGGAAGTTTGCTGATCAGGTTTTGCCTTGCTGGAACAGATGTTGCCGGTGAATCTCATTGAGGATTACATCGCTGTTGGAGTGGTCAGACAGTCCACTGTCCCAAAATATAGAGCCTGGATGGAAAGCAAATACAGTGACAGGCTGAGCAGACTTTAGCCAGTGCATGAACATAAAAAATAGAAACTGTAATGCGTACTGTTATTGTTGGAGGCGAAGCTCACAACGGCGGAGTTCTGATAGATGAAGTGGGGATCTGAGATATTGAGAGCTGATGAATTCTTATTCTGAGTAGCAATTCGACTCCAGTCTGCAAAAAAAATCATCATACAAATTACATTATAGGACCCATGGGCCAAAAAAAAAAGACTAGTACTTCATGTGTATCTTTGCAGATTTTATTATGAAAGGATTGAAGATGAAAAGCTTCCAGCGTAAGTGTAGTATGTCGGGACAGCTTTCGCTGTTGACATCCTATTAATTAATTATTCTTAAGGCTAGTTCAAGCACAAAGAATATTAATTGTTTAATTAAAACGGATTCTTTCTTTTTCGAGTTAAATTTCTGCCATGTGACCAAGATAACTTGAGAGTGGAGTGTATAATCAGTGACATGAGACGTCATTTATCTTTGACCCATCAGAATAAATGCGGTAATTTATTAAACAGAATCATTAAAATTAACATCAAAACATGTACATTTGATTTGCTGATCTGTTTCTGATTAATAAACTTATCAAGTTCAAATAACAAGACAACAAAGGATTACTGATGGAGAATAATTCATCTCTGAAGGCATTTAGCTTGATTTACTGGCGAAGAGGTTTCAAGAGGAGAGATTTAGAGGTTTAAAGAGGAGGATTTAGATGGATGAAGGAAAATGTGTTGACCAGGAATGGCACCCTTCATCCGACCCCAGCTCAGCCCTCGGTACACTAGGTGTGTGACGACTCGTTACCTTTGCAGAAGATAAATCAGCTCCGGTACAGAGGTCCATTTCACGCTACCTTTCAGCGTCTCCAGTCAGAGTGGCTGGGAATCGTCCGAAGTCGTGACGAAGTACTCCGTTCAACAGAATAAGCTTCCTTAGAAGTTGAGAGCATTTAATGCTCGGGGTGAGATCACAGCGAGGCGTGCTGTGACTCTGCTGAAATGGATGGACCCTTGGCTCATGGTCATATTCCATCAGCTATTATTGTAGACGGTTAGACCTTAGCCTCCATTAAGACTTCTGGTAAGACTCCAGTAAGAACTGAAAGTTCCAATAAGACTGAATAGTTCCAAGAAGTGTTGACTTTTAAAGGGCATCCACTTCCTGTTACTTGGTACTTCCTGATTGGTTACCACAACTAGCAGGGGTGGAGTTTTAGTGATGTCAGAGGGTTATTAGCAGTCATAGACAGCAGAAATGTTTTTAAGAACGGTTAGTACAGACAGGAAAATATTTTGAAGAAGTGACAGACTTGCAGGCGCGCCAGTTTCTTATTTACTGTCTGAGAGTTTTAAAACAAGGCACTTCGTTCTCATAACTTGTTCTCTGACTTTTGACCGACATCAAATCCACTCCTCATTCAGACAGAAGAGTAAAATGCACAATTACTTTGTAAATAGACATTTAACTTGTATGATCTAAGTCTAATGAGGTTTAAAAAGCATTAATACTGTTTCACAGTTTATTTAAATGAGTAGTTTACTTCAACATTAGAAATGGTATGAACTGACCACACTTTTGATTATCAAGATACTGTAAAATAGTAATGATAATATAAAAAAGAAGAGTGTTCTTTCAATTGATTAATTCAGGATACAATGAAATAGTCTATTGATGAGATAATTTGTGTTCTGGATTTAAATCAATGAAATAACACTTCCTGTCCCCTGAAGGACTTCAGAGACAGATTGATGTAGGAGGTCTAGTTCACTACAGTCTCCCCTTTGGAAATCATCACCAGTCCATGGGGATGAATTCCAACATGAACTTACATCTCCGAATGTCCTTGATCTTGATGTAATCCAGCAAGAGGAAAACAAAAGTCAAAGAAAGTAATTCCACAACGGTTTTGGTAATTCCATAATGTTGTTGGTAATTCCATTGCAGCAAAGCTTTAACCCCTTGGAAACAAAGTCTGTAATCCATTGGAAAATGTTATATAATCCACAACGATAAATCCACAATGATTGGAGGTGTTGATTGATCAGCATGTAGAGGGGTTCCCTCGATTGAACTGAAGAGGCGACCACTGGATGGAGTTTGGAGACCCACGTTGGAGTTGTAGGTCCCTTCAGCGAAGGTTGCTGCTGGTGGTTCCCAGTGGATGCCATTCTGGTTCTTATGTGTTCATGCATTTATGTGGTTTTAGTTGGGCTTATGAGTGGGATTTTACATAAGACCTTAACCTATATGCACCTGGTGTGTAAGCTATCATGGTTTAGACCAGTTACAGATACCAATTAAAGGGTGGGTCGTGCTAAAAATTTATATATAGGGATTTATACCTATAGAAGGGCATTCCAAACTATTCTTCCATTCCTAACTTGGTTTAAGTTAGATTTACGTGGCAAAATCTAATTTGGTTTAATTGTCTGTTGTCCCTTTAGACGAACGACTTGAGTTTTGGGTTTTTGGCTTCCCCCTAAATGTTTTTGGAGTCTATGGCGAGACTCATTTTAAGGATTAGTCCAGAGGACCAGATTTAACTTTTTTAGATACAAACAAAATTCATTCTTGCTGGGGGTGTTCAGAAACAATACCAAAACCAAATAAACAATGTCTCAACATCGACAACAGTAGTGATCAAGCAACTAGAAAACAACGTTTCACTGTGTACCTCACTCTGATTGTCAGATTCGATCACGTTATCGCGTCTGAGTTGTTAACACTTAATTAAGCTTAGATTTATTTAGTTTCTGCTTGGATGACACTTTTTCCCACGAGGTCTGATTTTGTGAGATCTTTGTCTCCTGTGGAGTTATTGAACGCCTTTTATAGTTTGACCTGGTTTCGATGTACCCATTTAACAATTGGCTCTTTTTGGTTTTTGCCGATTTTGATCTGGTAGACAACTGGAGACAGTTTGTCTGTTATCAGGTGGGGTCCAGTCCACCTGGGCATCAGTTTGTGGGCGAGAGTTCCGGTCCCGGACAGTCCTTTCCCGGTTGTGGGGGCAAACGTGTAGTACCAGACCCTATCTCCCACTTGGAGTTGCTCGTGAGAGGCCTTTTGGTCATAGTACGCCTTTCGTCCTTCAGCAGATTTTCCAGGTTTCTCTGGGCAAAAGCAAAGGTGTTTTTAAGGTGTTTTTCCAAGCCATTCATGTATTGTTGTGTGGTATAGGCTGTTGCCATGGTGGCATCGCCTGGTTGGTATAACAGGTGTAGAGGGAGAGTCATTTGTCGACCCGTCATCATCTCGAAGGGAGAGATGCCAGTCGATGTGTGTGGAGTGGCCGTTATGGCCATGAGGACCAGAGGGAGTTTCACGTCCCAGTCCTTGTGGTTTGTGGCTATGTATTTCTTCAAAATACTTACTACAGTTCTGTTTGCTCTCTCCACTTGGCCTGAGGCTTGTGGGTGGTAGCCAACATGGAAGTTGACTTTGATGCCTAGCATCTTCCACAGTTCTTTCCTCACTTCAGCTGTGAAGTGTGTACCTTGGTCTGAGTTCACCCTGAGGGGAAGTCCAAACCTTGAAAATACATGATTCATTAGTAACATAGCAGTTGTTTGTGCTGTGTTGTTAGGACCTGGTAGACATTCTACCCATTTAGTAAATGCGCAAGTTACCGTGAGAAAATATTTATTTCCTCTAGTGCTCTTAGTAAGTGGTCCAATCCAATCGATCTGGAGGTCAGACCATGGCAATGCAATGCCTCTACTTTACAGTGGTGCTCTGTGGAGTGGTCTAGATGGCTGAAACTGGCCACAGACCAGGCACTTTTTTATGTAGTCCTTGACATCCTTTTTCATTCCAGGCCAATAAGCAACTTGTTTTAATGCTTTCAGCGTGGTGTTATCTCCCTTGTGTCCTAAGAACGGGAGGTCATGCACGTGAACTAAAATCACCCCCCTGTGGTCATGGGGGACCACGAACATGGGTGAGGATGTCGGTCCATGAGCAAAAGTTAGGATGCACTTGATTAGTTTTAGCTGTTTGCGTAGCTGAAAGAGGACTTTAAGGTCTGGGTTGGAATACAGGTTGACTTCAGACGGAGTGTTTTTGTCTGGGTCAGTCAAGTACAGTATCATCGAGTTTATCGCAGGATCCAACTTCTGAAGTTGGATGATGTCTGGGTCAGTCAGCACGGGTTGTACAGAGACTGTGTTGTCAGCCGGTTTGGCTGCAGCCTGTGCACGTGTGACTGCCATTACCTTGGTTGTAGGTTGTACTGCCAGAGTTGCGAGCAGCCAGGAGGGGTCAAAGGACCATGGAGGGCCGTCCACGGCTCCGTCCTTGGCTAGGAAGTCTGCAAGGTCATTATACCGCTTGTCATTGCCTAGGACTCTTGAATGTCCTGGAACCTTCTTCCAGTAGACCTGTAGGTCATGTGATGTCACCAAGTGATCACATGCCATGAAAAGCTCTTTGTGTTTGACCACTTTCTTGTTGCTTGTGAGAAAGCCATTCTGTTTCCACAGAGCGAGATGACACAAGAAACTAAGTCGAGCGTAATTAGAGTCCGTGCAGATGACAAGCATTTGGATGGAGTGTTCTACTGCCATCTGGAGGGGTATTAGGATTCCTGCTATCTCAGCGTACTGAGAAGACTGAGAGCCTAATTTATAGCTAAAAGTGACCTCTTCTTGGTCTTGGAGGAGGATCCCTCCAACACCTGATTTGCAGGTTTTTTCGTGGTTGAATGAACAGCCATCCACATACAGTGTTGTCATATCTTTGCAGATATTGCTATCAAAGTAGTGGTGATTCGGGGCCTCACTTACTGAGGGTTTTTCCACAGCTGGCGGTTGGGTGGCTGGTACATCTTGTGTACATTCCTGGTAGAGTGCCAGGTCGGTGCCCAAATGTGACTTCTTGTTTTGTCCGTAGCGGATGTCTAGGTCAAAACTTTAAAGCGCCATGAGCCACGTGGCTACCTGTGAGTTAGTCACCGCACCATTCCTGATGCGTTGGCTTTTCAGGAAAGTTACTGGCTGCTGTTGTGTTTCAACAATGATTTTTTGTCCACCGATGTAACTGGAGAAGTGTTTAACTGCCCCCACAGTGGTCAGTAGAGCTTTCTCACAGTATGAGAACTTTGTCGGGGCCTGCCATTGTCTTACTGGCGTAGACCACCACACGCTTGTCTTTGTCGTG